AGAGAGTTTCGACTTGTTTTCAATGCACCAGGTCTTTATTTAACAAATAATGTTTCTGAAACATCAAATGACCGATTTCATGTAAGAAATAATTTTATGGACATCATCTTCAGAGAATTTTGACTTATTTTCAATGCACCAGGTCTTTATTTAACAAATAATGTTTCTGAAACATCAAATGACCGATTTCATGTACGAAATAATTTTATGGACATCATCTTCAGAAAGTTTCGACTTATTACAGAGAATTTTTATTAATTTTTAATGTACCAGATTTTAACATATATTATGTTTTGGAGACATAAAATAAGTGCTTTCTTTAAAAAAAAATAGATACCATCTTCAGAGAGTTTCGACTAGGTCTTTATTCAACAAGTGTTTTTGACACATCAAAATACCTCTATTATGTAAAAAATAATTTTATGAACACCATCGTCAGAGAGTTTCGACTTATTTTCAATGCACCAGGTCTTTACTTAGCAGATGTTTTAAAAACACGAAAATAAACAATTCATGCAAAAAAAATATTTTATGGACACCATCTTCAGAGAGTTTTGACTTGTTTTCAATGCGCCAGGTTTTTATTCAACAATTAATGTTTTTGAAACATCACAATACCGCTTTCATGTAAGAAAAATAATTTTATGGGCACCACCTTCAGAGAGTTCTGACTTATTACAGGGAATTTTGATTTATTTTTAATGTACCAGCGCTTAAGAAAAGTTATGTTATGACATCAAATAATTGCTTTTAATTAAAAAAATAATTTTATAGACACCATCTTCAGAGAGTTTCGACTTATTTTCAATGTACCAAGTCTTTATTTAGCAGATAATGTTTTTAAAATATTAAAATAGAGCACTAATGCAAAAAAATTATGGACACCATCTTCAGAGAGTTTTGACTTATTTTCAATGCGCCAGGTTCTTACTAAACAAATAATGTTTTTAAAACATCTAAAAAACGCTTTCATGTTAAAAAATTATTTTATGGACACCATCTTCAGAGAATTTCGACTTATTTTCAATGTACCAAGCCTAAGAATACGAAACAATACTGTTTTAATTGTTGATTTTCAACAACAACACTAAATAACAGATGAAATTGACAATAATGAAAACAAAGTGGAGCATGGATACACTACAAAACTAAAACAATCATCAATCACAAAGTAAAATCTATTCAAAATAAAGTTTAATTATACTGAACATTAATTTAATAAATTTCCACTGAAATAGTAGTATGAAAAATACTTTGTGAACGTGTTGCATACGATATTTTTTCTACGACCACAATTTGTAAAGCTACTTTTATTTATTTAGACCCTGTGGCATAAAAGTATTTATTAATAGATATTAAACGATGTAGATAGGGGGTATAAATAATTAAATGTACGATTTTATTAGCAATTTTCTACGACATCCTCATTGCGTTGAATTTCAAACGAAATCAATATGGAAGCGACCCTGATTGTAATTCTGGATTGAGATTTAAATAAAAAACTTGTATAAACCATTTTCGATTAAGACGAATGAGTATTTTATTCAGAACAGCACGCAGTATCTGATAAAAAGAGAGATAGAGAGAGAGACTGTGAATATCGAGCACCGACCCAACGTTGATCCTTTGTTGTTCGGTCGTTTTGAATTCTTCTTTACCTGGTGTGGTATCTGTTGTGCAAAACGTCGAGAAGGTTGAAGGTCGGTTATTTTCAATGTCAATGGCCGATGTACGGACGGACTAGCTTGGAAGCCACGCACGAGGGCATCGTCAAAGGCAACCCAGCAAACGACGACGCATTCATAATACTCAACTAGGTGCCTTCTACTACAGAATTAATTACCCAGAAGTGGTTTCGAAGAATACATTCGCTTCCATATTTATTTATTATTTAATAATATGGAAAATTACCAGGTAGTGAAATTATATAATATACTTTTAATTGTTATTAGAATACATTATCTATCATCTTCAGAGAGTTTCAACTTATTTTCAATGCACCAGGTCTTTACTTAATAAATAATGTTTTTGAAACAGAATACAGATTTCATGTAAGAAAACTAATTTTAATATACCAGGTCTTCACTTAGCAGATGTTTTTAAAACATAAAAATAGCGCTATCATGCAAAAAAATTATGGACACCATCTTCAGAGATTTTTGACTTATTTTCAATGTACCAGCTCTTCACTTAGCAGATAATGTTTTTAAAACATCAAGATGAGCTTTTATTAAGAGAAATTATGGACACCATCTTCAGAGAGTTTTGACTTATTTTGAATGCGCCAGGTTTTTACTCAACAAATAATGTTTTTGAAACATCTAAATACCGCTTTCATATAAAAAAATAATCTTATGGACACCATCTTCAGAGTTTTTAACTTATTTTCAATGTTCCAAGTCTTTACTTAGCAGATAATGTTTTTAAAACATTAGAATAACACTTTTATGCAAAAAATATGGACACCATCTTCAGAGAGTTTTGACTTATTTTCAATGCACCAGGTTATTACTTGACAAATAATGTTTTTGAAATATCAAAATACAGCTTTCGTACCAAAAAATATATTTTATGGACACCATCTTTAGAGAATTTCGAGTTATTTTCAATACGCCAAGTTTTTACTTAACAAATAATGTGTTTAAAACATTAAAATATCGCTTTATGTAAAAAATAATTTTATGGACACCATCTTAAGAAAGTTTCAACTTATTTTCAATGTACCAGGTCTTCACTTAGTTTTTAAAACATTAAAATAGAGCTTCCATCAAAAAAAATTATGGACACCATCTTCAGAGAGTTTTGACTTATTTTGAATGCGCCAGGTTTTTACTCAACAAATAAAGTTTTTAAAACATCAAAATACCGCTTTCATGTAAAAAAGTAATTTTATGGACACCATCTTCAGAGATTTTTTGACTTATTTTTAATGTACCAGGTCTTTACTTAGCAGATAATGTTTTTGAAACATCAAAATACAGCTTTCATCAAAAAAAAGATGGGCACCATCTTCAGAGAGTTTTGACTTATTTTGAATGCTCCAAGTTTTTACTCAACAAATAAAGTTTTTAAAACATCAAAATACCGTTTTCATGTACAAAAATAATTTTATGGACACCATCTTCAGAGAGTTTTGACTTATTTTGAATGTGCCAGGTTTTTACTCAACAAATACACTTTCTGAAACATCAAAATACTGCTTTCATGTAAAAAATGATTTTATGGACACCATCTTCAGAGATTTTTGGCTTATTTTAAATGTACCAGGTCTTCCCGTAACAAATTATATTTTTGACACATCAAAATATTGCTTTCATGTAAAAAATAATAATTTTATGGACAACTATTGCTTTCATGCAAAATATTATTTTATGGACATTATCTTCAGACATGTTACAGTTAATCCAATAATTCCAGAGATGTGCCACAGTGTACTTCGATTAGTTTTTGGCACAAAAAATATCGCCTAATAGATTTTTGAATTTTTCATAATTTTCTAAATAAACTATCTAAAAATACAACTTTATTTGGCTTTTAAATTTTTTGGGCATCAAATGAAGCAAAATTGGATCATAGTTTATTGGACAACACATCTACCTACGAGAAACTATCAAATGGTGAAATTTTGACGATATAAACTGGACTACCCTGTATATATGTGGCAGTTATATTTCCAAAAGGTGGACCGAAAATTTTCAACAAAGATCGATCCATCAATCAGACACCAAAAGAAAGAACCTTCTGATTTTGTACGGAAGACTGTGATAAGATCAAAAGATTTATGTCGTATCGATTTGGTGGTTTCATTTGTTTATTCTTTGAATTACAGTAAAAATTAGTCAAATTTATTTAGCAAAGCTAGAATGGTTGACATTCTAGAAATATAATTAAAAACGAAAAGTGTTGAAATGTCATGAGAATAAAATGATTTGACGAGGTCATTTGGCAGTCATTAAAAAATAATTTTAAAAAATGTCAAGGGTTTTGAGAAGGATGAAAGGGACATTGATTGATAGTTAAAAGATTTATGTACAGTTACTGTTATTCTCTATAATTTTAGTTCTATACATGATTTGTAGATAATTCAAAAATAGATCAAAGAAAAAACAGGAAATTGAAAACTTAAGCTTTAATATTACTAAAAAAAAATTGTGTCATTAATTTTTAAAATATTCTCAACGCCTTGGGTCAGACCCGCCCCTGTGCGACTTCCTTTATTTTATTTAGACTTGAAATTCGATCGTTTAAACAGAGTCACCCTTGGAAATACATCGTTGTGGGTTTCCGGACTAACATTTTATTTCTATTACACAAAATGACAAAATGTCAAGGCTAGACGTTATATAAAAATAGCCCAACTCGTGTTGGCTTCCTTGTTAAAAATTCAGCCAAGGTTTGGCGAACGCGGCGAGTCCATAGTTTGGAATATAAAAGTGGTTTTTGCGTTTTGCACTTCCGGTGTACAATTTAAACTACCTTTACCTGCTGAAATCGAAAACATTCGACCGTAAACGGTGCAAGTGACATTGAAGTACTTTAATTTGGGAATTTCTGATGATAAATTAAGATTATGGATATCACTCTGTATTTGCGGAAAAATCATGTTTATTTTTAATAATAATTAGAAATATAATTGCCAATTTTGATCTAATTTTTTTTGTATTTTCATTTTAATATTTTCAACAAATTTTATAAACTGTCAAATGAGATGTCAATTGTTGCTTGAAAGACTGGCCAATTCCTAACAAAAAAGTTTTAGTCAAACTGGAAGTATACCTAATTTAAAAAAAAATCATTTACAAACGCAATTTGCCTTTTTTGAAAATATTTGGAAATAAAATAACATGAAATTGTATTACTAGACTTTGCTATAATAAATTGTTTTAGTAAAATCCAAAAATTCTATAAAAAAAAAACGTTTCAACTCGTTTCTTTTTTTATGGGTGCTAAACTGCAGCGACTAAAATTAATTGCAAAATAAATGATAATGATCAACTTACCTTGCATCCTTCGCAAGAATGCACGCCATAATGAAATCCTGACGCCTTGTCGCCACATACTCTGCACAAAACCGTCGTCCCATCAAACTCTGAAAAAGAATATACAGAAATAGAAACCCTTTTTATAAAATTCTACATAAAAAATACAAATTTTCGATAACAATACATTTTCTAGTAAAAAACTCAGTCAACACTGTTCCGTACATTTGGCAGATGAGAAAGGTGGCAGCTAAGACAGCTGGCAAATGACAACTATGACAGTTGACAGATAAATCAACTGTCCAGTATATCATTCAAGAAGTCTGTGAGTAGGAAAAACTTGTATATCATTTGTTTAAAATAGATAAACTTAAAGATATCAATTATAATAAAATTAATATTATCTCTAGGATTATAGCTAAATAAAGGTTATTACTTAAATTTTTTTTTATTCTGTGTCATCGCCATCAACTGCTTTGGTTATTAGTCTCGTGTTCTGCGAAGGCTTCGTTACTGTTTCCCAGCGCCACTTTAGGAGCAGCACTGTTAAATAGAACCCAACCCAATGTTTTTAAAACATCAGAATAGAGCTTTTATGCAAAAAAATATGGAGACCATCTTCAGACAGTTTTGACTTATTTTCAATGTATCAGGTCTTAGAAGATGCTTTTAAACCATCAAAATACAGCTTTTATACAAAAAATATATTTTATGGACACCATCTTCAGAGACTTTTGAGTTATTTTCAATGCGCCAAGTTTTTAATTAACAAATAATGTGTTTAAAACATCAAAATACCGCTTATATGTAAAAAAATAATTTTATGGACACCATCTTCAGAAAGTTTCGACTTATTTTCAATGTACCAGGTCTCCACTCAACAGATAGTTTTTAAAACATCAAAATAGAGCTCATCAAAAAAATTATGGACACCATCTTCAGAGAGTTTTGACTTATTTTGAATGTGCCAGGTTATTACTCAACAAATAAAGTTTTTGAAACATTAAAATACCGCTTTCATGTAAAAAAATTTTATGGACACCATCTTCAGAGATTTTTGACTTATTTTCAATGTACCAGGTCTTTACTTAGCAGATAATGTTTTTAAAACACCAGAATAGAGCTTTTATGCAAAAAATATGGACGCCAAATTCAGAGAGTTTTGACTTATTTTCAATGTATCAGGTCTTAGAAGATGTTTTTAAACCATCAAAATACAGCTTTTATGCAAAAAATATATTTTATGGACACCATCTTCAGAGACTTTTGAGTTATTTTCAATGCGCCAAGTTTTTAATTAACAAATAATGTGTTTAAAACATCAAAATACCGATTTATGTAAAAAAATAATTTTATGGACACCAGCTTCAGAAAGTTTAGACTTATTTTCAATGTACCAGGTCTCCAGATATTTTTTAAAACATCAAAATAGAGCTCATCAAAAAAAATATGGGCACCATCTTCAGAGAGTTTTGACTTATTTTGAATGTGCCAGGTTTTTATTCAACAAATAAAGTTTTTGAAAAATCAAAATACCGCTTTCATGTAAAAAAATAATTTTATGGACACCATCTTCAGAGATTTTTGACTTATTTTCAATGTACCAGGTCTTTACTTAACAGATAATGTTTTTAAAACATCAAAATACAACTTTCATATAAAAAATATATTTTAGTGGAGTGAGGAATCTTACCTATGCACTAGAAATAATTTTTAATTTATTAAATTAAATAAAAATCCCCACCACCGGCAGGATTCGAACCCCACAACCTTTTAGATCTAAAAGTCCAGACTCTAACCACTGCGCCACCCACCCCTATTAATTTTTGAAAAATCACGGGATACCAGGTAAATAACCAACTCTTGGCCACGTTGCATTCAAGTATCTCTAAATACCATTTTTAAGATATTATTTGATGGATTTTAAGGTGTATTTTACCAAATTGAATTATTTGTTACTTTTACTTTTGATTTGAATATTTTTAAAGCAAGCGCATACATATAGATGAGAAGAAACCAATTTACTTAAAATGGCGGTACTACCTACTTTTTAAGTGCCTGACAGACAGCAGCACTGATTCCACGTGAACCGTCATATATGTGGATATCCATATCAAATGACACACCTTAAACTTATATAAGAACTCGCATTTTTGTTATACGAGCTTTCTCCTTTGGTGGCAATTTACAGTGACGTAATGAAAATGCACAAATTCATTTTTGTAGCATGAATCAATCGGTGAAAACAACAAACTGCTTTCTTTTCATTGGTCAGACGTATTTTTTTCACGGTGTACCTATAGGCAAATCTATTACAATGTCAATCATTACAAAATATCAAACTTCAAAATTCTTGAGTTTTGGTATATTTTATTTAAGGGTCCTTCAAAAGTACCCTCCAATGTTAATCACCAACTTGAAAAAGTAAAAGGATCAGTTGGTTAAAATTTACTTTAAAATTCCATAAAAATAACAAATGCTAGTAGTCACGTAGCCAAGCAATTTGGCACACTACAGTTTGTTGACTACTGTCGAAAGCGCTGTTGCCAAAAGTCCCATAATAAACCGATTTCTTCGGAATTTTTTATTCTAGCTAGGTATTTTTTTTTATTTTATCAAAATAATAATTATTCTCTAATACTGATTACATTTTAAGATTTGATAAACATAATTTTTAATTAAATTATTAATAGAATACACGTGTGATTTGTTGAGTTGAATGACCGAAGATAATGAAGATTTTACTGTAAATAAAATATTGATATCGAAAATTTTTAGCAAATATGGATAGCAAGATAGGAAAATTATTTGCCAAAATTTTTATCTAGATGGGTAGGTACATTTTAATTCTAAAAATAAAAAGTAAGTTTTTTTAATGAATCTAAAAGTCAGCTGTATTTTTTTGGCCGACATTCATTTATATATTTATGTATGACATAAAAATGTGGGCTACATGATAGACAGGTAGGTATTTAGTAAGTCAAAATAATATAGCATTATACCAGGTGGTGAAAATTGAAGAGAAATATTTATAAATAAAAAACAAAAAAAAACAAGTAAAATAATAAAAGGTATAAATAAGCTGCAGTTAGTCACAAATTTTATTTAAAACTAGGTACCTAATTATAGGGAAACTACTTTCAAATTTGTAAACCAGTAAATTAAAGGACATATTAAAAAACCAGTAAATTAAAGGACATATTAAAAAACCAGTAAGTAGGTAGGTATTTTTTAAATGTAATTAATAGATAAATCAGGTACCTACCCTAAAGTGAAATTTTGTTGAATTATAATTATAAAAAAATATGTTATACAATGTGTTTGCATTTTTGGCATCCAATTTTATAAAACAGGGCAGTTTTTATCAATGACGTAGGTAGGAGAGGATTAAGGGAATCAACCTTGTCCCATGAGTCTACGAAAGTTATGAGTGAAATAAATAAAATGCCCTTCATCTATGTACACCTACATGAAATTTTCTAGCATTTTTTCATTATAATGTATAAATCTAATGCAAAAATAACCAATTTTAATACTTTAAAAGAAACATTTATGGAATTTAATATTAAATCATCGCAAAAATGTATCTACGCCACTGATTTTTTATACCTAGGATATTTATTACATGATAAAAATAAAAAATTTGAACCTACTACTGTCCTCTAACAATTTATAAATCCAGTTCGTATTTTTTTGTGGATTTAAAAAGGGTAGGTATTCAAAACTAGTGACCCCAAAAAAATTAAATTAAGCCTGTAGCATAGGGGAAACATTGTACACCATTATATAGTGGGTTAGACAATAATAACTCTATACATATCTCAGATTACGTATTAAAATAACTAATAAGTTAAAGAGATAATAAGTTATTAAAGGAGTGCTACAAGGAAGGTTGCTAGGTCCTTTACAGATCACATATTTATATAAATAATGTTTATTTAATGGATTTTTATTTTTAGGAAGACTTTTGTAGGGTAAAAGTAGAAATATGAATTTTCTCCATACTTTTTTACTTTCCTATCTGTATACAGATATAAGGAAAGTATAGGAAACATGATTTTTTTCGACCTCGAGTTTTCGACGGATTTTTACTTTTCGAGGTCCCCTGAATCCGTTTTGACTATTTTCGCGATGATGTCTGTGTGTCGCATAACTCATGAACCGATAGACAGAAAAACACCAAATTTTAAACTTAAGCTTTGTTTCAGCGTCCAATCAACTGATTAGATTTTGAGCAGAGTCGGAACATCTGGGAGGGTACTTTATGGGTGGTCATTTTTATATTTTATGGAATATATCTGTTATTTACGTTTGGGGAAGAAAATTATTTAAATAAAAGTTACTTTTTATATTATTATCTATAATTTTTGTTCTATACTAAATTTTCCTAAAATGGTCCGTATTCGAGAAATTTGACAAAATGTAAAAAAATATTTTTTTATAAAAATTGTTCGAATAAAAGTTGTTTGTAATATAATTCTCTATAATTTTTATCCTATACATAATTTCTTTAAAATGGACCGTATTCGAGAAATTTGAGAAAATTGTAAATTTTGAAATTTGAAGAAAACTCAAAAACGGATAAAGAAAAAACATTAAATTTTAAACTTAAGTTTCATTTCGGCCTGACATGAAATGATTAAATTTTAAACAAAGTCGAAACATCTGGAGGGGTACTTTATGGGAGGCCGTTTTTATATATTATGGAATATATGTTATTTATGTTTGGAGAAAAAAATTGTTCAAATAAAAGTTACTTCTAATATTATTATCTATAATTTCTGCTTTATGTCAAAATTTCCTGAAATGGTCCGTATTCGAGAAATTTGACAAAATGTGCAAAATTCTGATTTTTATGAAAATTGTTGAACTAAAAGTTGTTTGCGATATCGATCTATATTTTTTTGTTAATACATGATTTTTCTAAAATGGACCGTAATGAAAAAATTGTAGGAAATTTAAATTTTTCAGTATTTTCGTTTTCAATGAATATCTATAGAAAAATGTTTCGAGGTAGATGTATGTGGACAATGTATATATTTAGTTTATCCTCTAACATTTATAGAGATGCTGCAATAGGTTGTACAAAATAACCGGAAAAAGCCTATAA